TATATAATTTTTTTTTTTTTTTTTAAATAAAGAAAGGGAAATTAGTTTTTGAATGAACCGAATATAATAAATCAAAAAAAACGTGATATATATATATATGTATATATATATAATAATTTTTAAAGAAAGCGGTAAAAAAAAAAAGATAAAATTTTAATTTAATTTAAATGTATGTATATATAAAAAATATATATATGATATATAATATATATATAATATATATATATAAATGTATATTTATTTATTACTATAAAGTACAAGTACTACTTATTAATGAATGCGGAAATTTTTAAAAACTTAGCCAATTGGTTGAAAATCGATTTAACTCGGGTTCTAAAAAAATTTATAAAGTACAATTATGCGCAGCATATATAAAATTGAATGATTTATATCACAAAAGTATATTGTATAATCTAAGCGGGGGGAAGCGGGTAAATAGGAATCACATATCAAATATCACATGTGATGTTTTCTTTTTTCAGTATTACGCTAGCCACATGGCAGGGAGTAATTAGAAAATTCCATAATTCTTTGTTATGGCTTCCAAAATTGGTTTAGTTTGAAAATCTTTCATTCTCACACTCATTAAACACAACTACTTTTCTTTTACCCTTTTCGTGTAAAATATTCGGGAATTTTTCGGGAAATCCTTTAGTCTCAAAGTGGAAAGAAACAAGTTTATTGGTTTATTGTTGGAGAATCTTAAAGGTTTTATAATTCTACTGTAAATCCCAAATCATGAATTATTTACCCCGTTAAAGTAAAATCTCCGAAGAGAAATTAAATCACTTAATCACAATTTTTTTTTTTTTTTTAATATTCTGATATTCAAATTTTGAATTTTTTGAAACCAATTATATATAAGAAAATTTTTTTTTTTTTTTACATTTGAAACTTTTCTACGTCAAATTATGTAGAAAATGTATGAAATCCCCCAAGAAAAAATTCGCACAAATGTTACAACACTTTTCTCTAATTAAGGTTAAGGTTGTGACATTTGGCGCATTGGGAGTACAAAATGATTTTTTTTAAAGGATTTTCAATCACATTACATTTCATACTAATGATATATTAATTTTTTTTAAAAAACGATATACACATATATCACGTGAATAAGGTCAATTTTTTTTAGAAAAAAAAAATAAACTAATCCTCGAGATTATCTGATTTGTTGAGAATCCGAGATACAAATTGACTCTTTTTGTTTTATGCATAAAAAAAAATTAATTCTTGGAGCTAAAAAACTAAAAATAAATCAAAATAAAAATAAAAAAAAAATTTCTTATTATTAGAATTATCATTCAAAATGATTTTTTTTTTTTGAACTCATGACCTCTCTTTCTTTCTCTTGTAATCTTACTTATTGTTCATTTTTAATTCAATATATGCTGTATCAAATTCAATTTCTAATTTTTAATATTATATTATTATTATTTATTATTTTATTTTGAATTTTGAGGTTACTCGAGTACCCGAGGAAAATAAAAATTCCTATAAAAAAAAAAAAACAAACATATCTTCAATGGCCCACGTTGAAAAATATTACAATTACAAAAGTTACCTCGAATTAATTAATCATACCAAAATTATAATTATAGTTATGTACTTGCATCTTATCTTTATTATGTATTCTTTTTATCAAAACTATTATTATTACATAGATCTTGAGAGAGGTCTGATAAGATTTTATTACAAATATTCATTAACCAAATTTAAACATTATACATTATATTTACTTTATCATAATATAAATAACAATTGTACTACACGGAGATATGATAAAATTTGTACTTCTGTGAATTTCTTGTATTGTTTCATTGAAAAAAAAAAAATTCAAGTTTTTTTAACCGCTAAAAATTTTTTCCTTCGTGGTACAGATAGTGACACATATACGTATGTTCATTATAATAATATTTAGAACCGAGCCTATTCTATAAAGGTTAAATAATTCAATTTCAATACTTAATTTTGGTAACAAACCAAATTCACTGGAATTTTTATTTTTTTTTTTTTTGACGATTGACTTTTGGAATGAATGCGTGCGATAGAAAATAGAAAATATATATGCATAATGCAATAATATATTAAATGATTAATTTTATTTGACATGTTTCAAATTTTGTGCAGTTAAAATTTCGAAGAGAAATTGCACTTTAACTTTCTAAAATAATTTTAAATGATTTCCCAAATTTCATTGATTTCATAATCATGAGAAAAGAAAGAAAAGAAACATTCTTTATTTCTTTTATTATTATTATTATTATTATTAATCCAACTAAAAAAAAATTGATATACCGTGATACACTTGTATTACATAATATCTATATATGTATATTATTATATATATATATAAATGTATACAATTTCCTATATTATTATAATAATAAGCGGGCTTAAAAGTTTTTCCCCGCATAAAATTTTTAAAAATTTCCGTGATTTCATCCATATCAAAAAAAAAGAAAATCTACATAATGATCCTTAATAAAATCGTAACACTACCTTATTGTTTTCCAAAGAATGATTCCTCGTGATGATAATAATAAACAATTAATTGTACGGCGGCACGAGAAAAAAAAAATTTTTTTTTCAAAAAAGTCAATGAAAAAAGTATTATCACACATCATTTTTACATTGTCACTATTGTGATTTCCTTTTAGTTAAAAGTCCATTTAGGAATTTTTTTACGCAGTTCTGTAAGACAAAAACAAAAAAAAAAACAATCGGCTTTATGCTTATATTTTTGCTCCGTGCGCTTTAAAAAAGTCCTTTTTTAATAAAATTCATACGGATAAATGAAATATGTACCGGTGTTATCTTTTAAGCTTTTTTTTTTATTTTTGATAAACCAATAAATTTTAAAAAAACAAGTGACAATATAATTGAGATCATATGGCAAAAAAGATTTCTTTTACATTCTCCTTTTTTTTTAATATGGTATTATGCGGAGAAACATAACAGCCAGCTTATTTTCTTGAGTTGAAAAAAAAAATTTTTTTTTTTATTAATAATAAATTAAAATACAGACTTATCGCATAGCATAGCATTTCTATAAGTTGAATTTCATGTGTATATTTATATATTACGTTTCGCAATATGTCGGTGACGGAAAAACTAAATAACAAATTATTCTTTTTTTGTAAACAAATTGTAAATCTTTTAACTTTTTAATTTATTATTTGAACACTAACTTTTTGAAATTTTTTTTCTTTTCCGGCTAATCGGAACTGGCCAACAAAAAATCATACTGAGTCACATATTAAAACAAGAAGAACTAAAATTGTACTAGCATAAAAAAATAAAAAATAAATAAATAAAATAAAAAAAATTACCTGTGCGTTAAAATATTAACTCATACATAAAATATGTTAGCATGGAAAGTTACATATTTATGCGCATTAAAATTTTGTGCTCCGAAAATCAGGAAGCACATCAAGTTATTTCTGCATCATGATTGCATATTTAGCCCAAACGTTACTATATTTGAAATATTATGATGCCATTAAAACTTGTTTCTTATTTTCTATTCTAGAATTTTCGTGATACGTACACAAAAAAAAAACTAACTGCGTACAGAAGAAAAATTAAAATTTTCGGGTTTCAAAAAAATATATATATATATATATTTTTTTTTTTGTAATCAAATCATGTTTCTTTTTTCCTCGTTGTAATAATAATTTTATACTATTATCCGTTAACAAAAAGTTTCGCTGGATTTTCCGTGTACAACAAAAGAATGTGAAGATTTCTTCGTTTAATAGACTTTTTTTAATTGTTAAAAGAATGAACACAAGTACCATGTGTTTCAGGAGTAATGCGTTTTTTAAATTATGGATGTGACATTGGAAAATCCATGTTGATCGAAGATCTTTATTCTCACATCAATCGTTAACATAATGAAAAATTAAGGGGAAATATAAAAATGTTTCAAGAAAAATATAAGTTTTTTTTTAAAGTTTGTATATATTCGCGATCATATCCCTTGGTAGGAACCATGTGGAATTCTTTCTTGGGCAATTAAATCTAGATATGCATTAAATAATAATAAATTAAATGCTCCACAGTTCACATACACATGCTCTTAATTTTTCGTAAGCTTAATCTTGCTTTGACACGCATAAATATAAATATATTAAATATAGAAAATGACAACTAACTAAATTATTAGTTCCCATTAAGCTTAAAATATCCTGTTTTAACTGGTTAGGTAATTAAAAGGATCTGTGAAA